CGCGGACGGGGTGGGGGGGGGGCGCGGAACTAGTGAAGAGCTCACAAAGTAAGTGCCCTAAGGTTGCATGAGGTCACCAAACCTCACCGGACCAAGGCAGAGGAAGACTTGAAGCAGATTGCGCTAATTGTGCAGCACGGCAAACTGATACATGTCTGAGAAAGATTTGCTAAGAAACAGAAATGTCCTGGGGGCGTTTGGGATCGGATTCGAACCCAGGCTGGTCATTCGTGACCAGCGATAAGGCCAACCATAAGGCAGGCGGGCATGGGCTTTAAAGCCTGGAGCCCGGGCGCCGTGACGGCAGCTGCGGGGGCGGCCCGGGGACCTCTGGCGCCCCCCGCCCGCCCCCCTTCCCTCCGAGAGCTTTCTGGAGGCCGAGGGGCGGGGAAAACCCGCGGCAGTCTTGCATCAGACGAAAGGCGGGTACGGCGTTTGCTGCCCCAGCCGGGCCGCCTTCCCTGCAGCCTCTCCGGCGGCCACGAGACTGGCTGGGACTCCGCCAACGCCCCGGCCACCCCCCAAGGAAGGCTGTACTTGCCGGGCGAGCCAGGACCTGGCCCGGGAAGAATCGCCGGTCCCTGGGCTCCCCGCGGCGAAGCTACTTTGGCGCCCCTTCCCCCAGTGCCCCGGCGCCCGGGTAGGGGGCGGCGCAGGGCTGCCAGGGCCACAGCGCGCGAAGGCTCAGGGGAGCCGCGCTGGCATCCTTCGGGCAGCCCGCAGGACCGGTCCGGGCAGCCTGCACTTTGCAATGCCGGCGGGAAGCGAGCCAGCGCGAAACACGCGGTTGCAAACTGAACGCAAAGTTTGCATCCTGCAGCTCGCGGCTGTTTCTTCTCCTTCTCCTCCCTCCCCCAGTTTCCAATCTCAGGAGGCCCCAGGACTGACTGGTACCGGGGACGGGGAGTGGGGGGTGGGGCGCGCTGGCCCCGGCCCGTCTCGGCAGAGGATGCCACCGAGCCCCCGTCTTTCTCCCGCTCGCCTTACCTGCAGCTCGGCTATCAGCTCCTCTTTGCTCAGGTTCTGCTTCTCCACCACCTGCAGCCCTCCATCTTGCAGGATCTTCCGGCAGCAAGGGTCCAGGCTGTCACTGATGAGCACTTTCCGCAGATTTGCAAAGGCCATTGCTGGAGTCTGCCTCGGAATCGGCCACTCGCGCGGGGCAGGAGCACCTAAGTCTAGGAGCTGTGGTTACTGCTGGCGGGCTGGTGTAACTGGGCAGGATTCACGAGCTCCCGCGCCCCTTTTATCTCCCCCTTCTGCTTATACGGCCTCCTTCTGATTGGACAAAAATACTCAAACTCTAGGTGACTCCGCCTCCTCCTCGAGGCTCTGAGCCTTTAGTTCCCCGCCCCCTTTATTATGCTCCCGCGGTGAATTTCTCAATCTCAGCCAAAGGCCTTCCCTACACCTGGTGAGCATATAGAAGCACAATTTGCGCTGACTAGCTGATTCGTATCTGAAACAGAAATATTTGTTCTCACCGTGAGAGAAATGTTTCATGTTCACTTCTTTCTGTCTCAGAACATATTCAATAATTCCTTAACAAGAATTCATTGAAATGTGCAAGGCACCGCGCTGGATGTTGAAGGGGCAAAGACATCCTGTGGTGGGCTAACACCGAGGGTACCAAAGGCAGACACGGAAAGCTAAAAAGTAAGAAGCAATAGGAAACTTTCTGAGACCTCACAAAGCAGTGCTTAATTACAGATGGATGACGTAATGAGAATTAGGAGTATGAAAGAGAACAAGGACGAGATGCATTTAGAGCAGGCAGAATTTTTTTAGAGCTCCCCATTTTCCTCTTCCCCCACTTCTTCTCTGATTATGAAAAAGACAAAAAGAATGTGAGATGTCAGTCTGGTCTAACTTCTATGCTGACCAAGGAGGCACTTTCCATCTCTTAACTCCTTTATGTTTAAACCCCACAACAAATATACTATTCCATGCCCCTCTTTACAGAAATATTGGGAAAATCTGTTTTGGATTATTTAAGGCCATCTAGAATCAAAAGCAGCATCAGGCATGCTCCCAGGTGAATTAGAATTCAGTTCTGTTAACCTGTCCAGACATTAGCTGTTGTGTGCCCTGGTCCTGAAAACCATCCAGCACAGCCTAGGGGCACCAGGAAGGCTTTCCAGCAAGGTTGCCTTTCAGCTGACACTACTGCTCTCTGAAGTCAACTATTCTGCCAGGCCTGAGGATAAGGAAATAAGTAAGACATTATCTGCCTTCAAGCTGCTCCTAGTCAATTGCCTAATCGTGAGGGCTGAATAAGAAATAACCAGGTAGAAAAGAAGTGACATTTACAAAGGCTCAGGGTGTGTGCCTAGGGGTGCAGGAGGCCAAACTAAGGAGGGGTCAGGGTTGCTCAGGAGGGTTTTGCCCTGAGGAGGAGTTTGAACTGCTCTCCAAAGCAGGGCAGGAGTGCGGAGTGATTTTCTGCTGTGTGATACCATTACCTTAGCTGAGTGGAGCCCTGACACCGAGAATGTAGATAATATCTCTCTGCACCCACCCCACTCCCATCCTTCACCATCCAACATCCACCCTCCAACATCGACTGCAAGTTGAGGATTTTTCTTTTACGATCAGTGACCAGTCTCCCCCGACCCCATGTTATTGCTTCCATCCATAAAGCAGGAACTCTGGCCTTCTTTTGTTTTTTTTTAATTTTTTTAATTTTTTATTTTCTAATGTTTATTTATTTTTGAAACAGAGAGAGACAGAGCATGAACGGGGGAGGGTCAGAGAGAGAGGGAGACACAGAATCCTAAGGAGGCTCCAGGCTCTGAGCTGTCAGCACAGAGCCAGAAGCCGGGCTCAACCTCGTGGACCGTGAGATCATGACCTGAGCCGAAGTTAGACACCCAACCGACTGAGCCACCCAGGCGCCCCAGGAACTTTGGCCTTCTAGGAAAATAGTTCTGCAATTCTCTCCAGACCCCCCACTCCGTCCCCTCCCTGAGCCCCCAAGCCCCTTGAGAAGAGTCACAGTCTGCTTAGTGAGTTTAGGGGAAAGGTCCTAGTGCCGGCCCAGGCCAGCCTCTGCTTAGCTGTCTCTTTTGGAGATGAAGCCCACAAATAATGTGCCCTCCCTGCTTCCTGGTGTGTGGTGAGCCCTCCAAGGGCAAGCCCAACCAACCCCATGCACCTAAGGGTGCAGGAGCCACAGCTGTCCGGCACCTCTGCCTATAGAGGATGAGGTTAAAGGGGGAGAGTAGAGGGGGAGAGGTAGGAATCTTATTTTTCTACTTGGAGCCCAGCTGTGATCGCCAAAGTCACATTATGAGTAATAAAAACAGACAATTTGAGCAGGAGATGATGAACTGTCATCTGCAAAATAGGCACATCTGAATTTGAGTTCCAGCTTCTGAAATTACTGATAACGTGACCTTGGGCAGGTGACATTGCTTCTCTTAGACTTAGTTTTCTTCTCTGCAATATGGGGCTCATAGGACAGTGCTTATTCACAAGGTTGTCATGAGGATTAACTAACGCGAAGCACTCAAATGAGTGCAATCTGTGGTGCTTGGCTTTCATTCGTTCATTCATTTATTCATTCATTCAATCAGGCAGCCAATAGATATTTATTGAGAGCCTATAACATGCCAGACATGGCTGAGGGTGCTGGGAATGAAGGTTCAAACAAGACAAACATGGTCCCTGTCTCACGGAGCTTATATTCTGTTTGGGGCCAGAAAATAACCAAATAAACGAAGAATGGAACAAGACAATCTCAGGCTGCGAAAGCATGATGAAGAATACAAAACTGAGTAACGTGCTAGAGAGGATGGAAGGGGTGGGGGGGGAGGGAGGGGATCTATTTTAGACTTTAGAGCCAGGGAAGGCCTTGCCAAGAAGATGATAGTCGAGGTGACACTGAAATAAGAAGTTAATTTGCGAAGAATGGAGGAAAGAGAATTCTGGGCAGAGGGCACATTTAAGTCTGGCACATTTAAGGAATTTGCCCCCGGATATTCCTGTAGCCCGTACTGTGTGCCAGGCACATGACCATGCACTGGGATAACAATGTTGAGCGTGTCACACGTGGTCCATGCCCTGAGAGGAATCACAGTCTAGTGTTGGAGTGTGTGGCCTGTGGTGAATGGTCAGGAAAATCTCTGAGAAAGCAGCACTTCAGCTGAGATCTGAAGGGGGAAGAAGAGAGTGGGGAACATCTGGAGGAACATTCGAGAGAAACTAAGAACAAGGTCACTTGGGTAGGAAACAGTACCTGTCATATAGACAATAAGGGGGAACATGGCACAACGTGAGGTGGAGAGGTTGACGGGGGACAGACCACTCAGGCCATGTGAACAGTCTGGACTTTTATGGATGCAAATAATAAAAACTCGATTTCAGCTGGCTCAAGGTGTCCAAAAGGATCAAACATGGGCAGGAATGGACTCAAATCAGTGTCATTGGCAACCCGTCTCCCTCCTGTCTCTGTTTTCTCTGGATTCGTTTCATTTCCAGAAAGGCAAGATGTGGCAAGAATGTCACCAGCTAGTGGAGAATATAAAATTCAGTCGTATATTCTAAGAAGTTTAGTAACCCCAAAAGGTTGTATTCATCTTCTAAGAATTGTGGCAATATTTTCATACCTGATCCTCATTGGGCCAACTGGGGTCACGCATCCATGAACCTAACACTGTGGCCAAGGGAATGAATATGCTGACTGGTCAGTCCCGAAGAAAGCACCCACTTCAGATCTGAGGAAAGGATTAGTCCCGTCTGGAATAGACACTAAGAGTATGAGGAAACTTCACGGTGTTAAGACAAGAGAAGGAGTGGAGGGTAGACTGGCAACCCCAACAGCTGACCAGTCCACCACGCTAAGGAGTTCAGATTTTATTCTAAGTAGGATGGGAGACGATTGAAGGTGTAAGGCGGGGAACGTATTATCTTGGCTTTAAAATGATCATTCTATACTGAACCCCCAAAAAGCTCCTCTTTAGGTATTGTTTTGATTATCATTATGATGATGATGACAATGAATACCATGATGATTATGACTGGCAGAGAGGTGGGTTCTTGTTTGGCACCTGGAATCACTCGGTAAGGTACAGTCAGGACTTGAAAAGGCAAATCTCTGACAGTGAAACTGGTAAGAACCAATGAATAATGGGTGAAGTTAGCCACCAGAGAAAGTAACTCATCCTGAAAGAAGGTAAGTGTCTGAAAAAGGAGTTTTGGGAGCCACCAGGTCAAATTAAGAGAAGAATACTGTTTCATCCAACTACTGCTAAATGTTAAAAAGAAAAAGAAGACCCTCTTAATATGATCAATTGTATTATACTTTTTCTGCTTGAAGAATATATTAATAGAAAGGTTGGTCTGCATGTTCAAAAAGATGATCCAAGCTGTGTGTTGGTGTTTACCCAGTGCTGTTCCAGAAGAAAGAGAGGAAGACTGAATGTACAGGAGTGCCGTGGCCAGTAGCAAGGTGTACTTCAATGTGGTACGGAGAGAATTCACCAGATTTTGTCACAGTCTGTATAAAAATATCCCTCTAGGGGCGCCTGGGTGGCTCAGTCGGTTGGGCATCCGACTTCCGCTCAGGTCATGATCTCGCAGTCTGTGAGTTCAAGCCCCGCGTCGGGCTCTGTGCTGACAGCTTGGAGCCTGGAGTCTGTTTCAGATTCTGTGTCTCCCTCTCTCTGACCCTCCCCCATTCATTCTCTGTCTCTCTCTGTCTCAAAAATAAATAAACGTTAAAAATATATATATATCCCTCTGGGGGCACCTGGGTGGCTCAGTTGGTCAAGCATCTGACTTCGGCTCAGGTCATGATCTCACAGCTGGTGGGTTCGAGCCCCGCGTTGGGCTCTTTGCTGACAGCTTGGATCCTGGAGCCTGCTTTGGATTCTGTGTCTCCCCCTCTCTCTGCCCCTTCCCTGCTCGTGCTCTGTCTTGCTCCCTCTCAAAAATAAATAAACATTTTTTTTAATTGAAAAGAAAATATCCCTTCTGATTGTGCAACTCCCTTCCTTTGCCATTCTTCTGAATAACTATTTTATTTTCCAGATACCCTGATGGGGTAAGGGGTCACTGAGATCTGTTTTTCACCAGATCCCATTGCCAAGTCCTTAACTAAAAGAAGTAGGCTTGGCCCAGAAAAA